CACACACAAACACACACACACACACACAGCCTTCACCGGACCCAATCGAGCCGACGATACTGAACATTCACAGTGAGTTTACTCGGGATGCGGAAATGTTTAAAGCTTTTATTTGTACATTTAAGTTCACTAAAAGCGTGCCTTTAAATTAGATTCACAATCTCACATTGTCTTGCAACTTGTAAGCATAAACAATTACAGTTAAGTTAATCTTCAGTTAAAATTTTGGAATAATTACTTTTTTTCTAAATAAGTCTCTTAGGTTCACCAAGATTGGAGTAATAAATGGCTTCTGAAAAATTCAGCTTTGCATCACAGGAATAAATAACATTTTAATATATATATTCAAATATAAAAGTTATTTTAAATTGCATTAAGATTTCACAGTATTACTGCTTTTACTGTATTTTTGATCAAACAAAAAAAACAGCCTTGTGAGCAAAAGAGACTTCTTTCAAAAGCAATAAAAAAAATATTTTGGACAGTATCGTATTTTACGTGAAGTATCAAATCTATGATTACGCAATTGTTGCCATCATTCAAAAATGGCCAAAGTTTGAATTTTTTTTTATTATTATAATTTTATTTATTTTTTTACAAAAAGCTAAATATAGTTTATATTTATGCATTTACTAGATGCTTTTTTTTTTTAATCCAAAGCAACTTATTTAATCAGAAGTTCAATTTTAGTTAAATGTAGTTTAATGTAGATACATTTTGTTTATTACTGTTTTAATGATTTAGCCCAGCTAATTAAAGGCTTTTTATTTTTACTACCTTTAAAGTGTAGTGCCTTGGAATATTTCATCTTTATTACAATTTAATGTTGTAGTTTTGTCCTTTTGCTTTAAACAGGGAATTTTAAAGCGCCCTGCCTTGTGTAGCACATTCAAAAACGTGAATAAAAACCGACAATCTTGGCTTTAATGCATGCTAAAAAATTCTTCAGACAAGTTATTTACAATCCTTACAGTAAGAAAGAGCAAACAAATGAGGTATAAGCCTGATCAAATTAGCATGATGTGTTTATATACGCTGTGGCTGCAGCTAGAGGGAGTTTTAAAGGAGACAAATAAAGCAGTTACTGTTCACACCAACAACAACAACAACCAAAAACCAACAAATAGCAGGGAAAATGTCTTCTAGCAAGATATAAAACCGGATCATTCAAAAGCTTTTGCAACTAAGAACACATAAAAATAATCATTTTACTTGATTTAATACAAAATACAATCCGGCCAATAACGTACTTTTTTTTACCGAAACAGAGAGTGGGAAATTTAATTAATACTTAATATTAATCAAATTTAAGATGTACATTTAACAAGTAAATTTAAAAAATGCACAATATATAAACACTTTCAGGTCCCAAATGTCAGTCTGCTTAATTGCTTAATTTTGTCTCACATTTATTTTATTATTATATTATTGACAATTATTATACGTTTTATCATTAAAGAAAATGAAGCCTGTTTTAGGAACATTTTTTTGCATTTCAACATAATTTTTTATTACAATTAAGCCCATTTTCTAGCTAAAATTCTGATTAGTGCAACATATAGATGTCTTGCGGTCATTACTGCAATTTAAAAAGTAACATTAATTTTATAAATGCATGTTGTACTAATCGTGAACAATTCATCCATGCAGACACTACCATTCAAAAGTCTGTGGTTTGTTTGTTTTGTTCTTTTTGAAACTCTCTTTTTGCTCACCAAGGCTGCATTTATTTGATCAAAAATACATGAAAAAAACATCAAATTTGAAATATTATTACAATTTAAGATAACCGTTTTCTATTTAAATATATACTTTAAAATGTAATTTATTCCTGTGATTAAAAGCTGAATTTTCAACAGCCATTAATTACTCCAGTTCTTAGAAAATGAAATTAAAGTTTATTTAACATGCAATTAATTAATTGATCGAATTTATTTAATAATCAACACTTAAAACAAAGTTGCATATAAGCATTTAAATTCAAATAAACTTTTTAATGATATAATTATTTTTCTAAAAATATGAAAATTTAAATGGAGGCTGTAATAAAAACTTGACATATTTATTCAAACATAGATTTTAATTTAATTAAACTTTGGACTTTGGATTGCAAAAAGAGACACTGACTGAGCCTAGACCTTATTCTGAGTTACAGATAACAGTATCTTCTCCAGAGAAAAACTAATAATGTGACTGCAGAAGCGATTGAGTAGTTTTTATTCCTGTGTGTTAAAGTCGCTCTCCAGACTCCGGATTTAATCATAGAATCATTTTTGTTTCACACACACACACACACACACACACACACACACACACACACTCACACGGTGGTGGCTGATATTTACAATTTGATTTCTGTTCTGTTCAGTTCATTTGTTTAATTGCAACTCAACACCTGATTATTTTGATGATCTCCGTAAACTTCTGTTCATATTGCTTCTGTTGTCTTGTTACTCTTATGTTGTTTTGATTTCTATTTGTTTGTACTTGAGTTGTCGGTGTAATTTTTGTTGCTAAGTGATGGTCGTCACGGTGTGTGTTGCAGGATTGTATTGGGCATCATCACAAAGAAGAATATTTTAGAACATCTGGAAGAGCTCAAGCTGCACGTGGAGCCCTTGGTGATTAGCCCCTCCCACTCTGCCTGTTAGACTCCGCCTCTTAGGAGGGACGCATGAAACTTGAGTGAGAAAAAAAAAAAGAGTTCTGGAGGATGGTTGCCCTAAAAGACCAAAGTTGCAATTTCAGCTAGTTAGAGATGAATAAAATATACAAGTTGTAGCATTTAAATTAATTGGATACATTTATTCTCATTTCTATTCACTGATGTCTGCAAGAGTTTTAATACCACCTAACTCTGAAATTGATCTTTTGAAATTAAATGCAAAAATTTATTGTGAGACAAAACTTATATAGCAGTTCTTTCAAGGTGGTGGAACTGTCCTGTATGTGGGGTCCAAACACTAAATAACGTGCACCAATTTGTGGCCAGTAACGCGTATTAAAGGAGTATTTCACCCAAGAATAAAAATTTGATGAAAAATTATTCACCCTCAGGCCATCCAAGATGTTTGTTTTATCAGAACAGATTTGGAGAAATGTAGCATTACGTCACTTGTTCACTAATGAATCCTCTGCAGTGAATGGGTGCCGTCAGAATGAGAGTCCAAACAGCTGATAAAAACATCACAGTAATCCACAAGTAATCCACACCACTCCAGTCCATCAGTTAATGTCTTGTGAAGCCAAAAGATACATGTTTGTAGGAAACAAATCCATCATTAAGGTGTTTTAGCTTCAAACCCTTGCTTCTGGCCAAAATACGTGTCCGTAATCCATAATATTGTTTCCAGCTTTCAGATGATGTATAAATCTCAATTTCACAAAATTGACCCTAATGACTGGTTTTGTGCTCCAGGGTCACACATTTGTTTAGAACAGTTTTGGACTGTGTTTGTTTGTAAATGATGCTTGATCTGTGCATATTTCTCTCCTGATTCAGACGAGACAAGGTTTTTTTTTTTTTGTTTTTTTTTACTGGAGAAAGTGTTACTATGGATTATGGACTTGCGTATTTTAGCTGGAAGCAATGGTTTAATTAAAATCGAAAATGTCTTAATTTTGGATTTGTTTCTTACAAACACACAGCTTTTCACTTCACAAGATGTTAATTGTTGAACTGGAGTGGTGTGGATTACTTGTGGATCATTGTATTGTTTTTATCAGCAGTTTGGACTCTCATTCTGACGGCACCCATTCACTGCAGAGCATCCATTGCTGAGCAAGTGATGTAATGCTAAATTTCCCCATATCCGTTCTGATGAAGAAACAAACTCATCTACATCTACAGCAAATTTTCAGTTTTGGGTGAACTGTTCCTTTAAGAAAGTTCATTTTGACGTCATCGTTTATAAACAACACTGACATTAGCGAAGCCAGCATGAGACTATATAGTATGAAGTTAAAAGCATTTTGGACCCTGCTTCCCGGACTTTATTCCTCTGCAGACATCATGTTTCTTGTAAGATTTGCTTTCACTCAGATTGTTGCTCCTGTCCTCGGCCATCCCTGCAGGGTAGTCTAGTCTGTCACATTAGCCGCGGTGTCTTTGAAATGCACCTTTATGTAGCCCTTCCCTTTCAGTTCTGCATTGTGCACGTGTACTCACAAAGCACATCTAATACACATGCCGTGATGTCCTTCATCTGAATTTGATTTCTTTGTTTGTTTTCCTTTTGTTTGTTGCTAAATTCCTCTCGGGGGTGCCTGGTCTGCGTCCGCTGGGCTACAGATCGATGACATCTGACCCCTCGCGCAGCTCCGCCCTTAAACGATTGGCGAGTAACTGTCATGTGTAGCGGACTGTTTTCTCATTCACCAACATATCTATTCATCTCTGTAGTCATAGTAGCTGTTACTAGGATGCTGTGCTGTTACCATGACGATTTGGTGTGACTCTAGAATCCTAGCACTTGTAGTCAGCAGTTCCTTAAGTCCCACACCTTGTCCTCTTTCAGTTGTCTGACGTTCAACCTGTTCACTTTCTTCCTGTCGCAAACATCTTGCAGGCATTTCACGAACATTTCACAAAGGTTTGACAATCATTTCACGAGCGTTTCATGCCTCTGATTTGGATGGACTCTCGCAATCCCAGCTCTCGTCAAAATTGTCACACCTTTTTTTTTTCTGTGATACAAACTGTCATCAAGCTTAAATCAAAAGCAAAATCAAGAGCATCTTTAAAGTTAACTTGCACTTTAATTCAAAATTTGATCATGAGAAATTAGTGTTTGGGTAGAGATACTGTATCTAGAATAAAGTGTTTGGGGTAAAGCGTTACATAATCACATTGTTTTAGAAGTAACGTGCTGCTAGTCACGTAAAGTACTGCGTTACTTTTTTGAAAACACTCTATAATGCTATAATAAAGTTACTTTTTTGCACTTATACACAAATAAATAAAAGAACAAAGTAAAAGTAACAATGTGGTGTAATCAATCAAATTTTAAAAAATGTAATACTTTAAGAATATTCTAACGCTACTATAATACAGTAATGCCGGTACATTACACATAACACTTGTCTGTTAAACACCTATATTTAAAAATGTTGTGAAAGGAAATTCGTTTTTGGGCACAGACACTATCCATTTAGAAAAACGGTAAATTGTTACAAATAACGCGTCACATAATCACATTAATTTAGAAGTAATGCCACTAGTTACGCAAAGTATTGCATTAGCTTGTGAATTATAGTGTGAATTCAAAATAGTACTTTTATACACTTAACTACTTAACATACAAAACTAGGAGAAAGTTACGATGTAGTGTAACTAGTTGCTTTTTTAAAATAAAGTAACACCTACTGTAATGCACATAATGCAATTGTTGTAGAAGTAGCCTTCTGCTAGTTACGAAAATTGTTGCATTACTATTTTGAATTCACACTAAAATGCACAAGTTGCTTCTATACATGCACAAAAATGTACAGTGTGGAGTAACTTCTTGTAACTAATTTCATTTTTTTGCCATAATGTAGCACCTACTGTTTGGCAGTAATGTCCGTACATTGCACATGACATTTTGTTGAACACCTAGCTATATTTTGAAAGTTCATCGAGAAAAATTTGCATTTAGGTACAGATACCTTATTCACTTAGAAAAATACTGTTACAGGTAAAATGTGACAAGTTACATAATCACACTGTTATTAAAGTAACATGCTGCTAGTTACTCAAATTATCGCATTACTTATTTAATTAACACTTTAATGGCCAAGTTACTTTTGTACAAGTAATTAACGCACAAAAGTAGTGGAAAATTAAGACTGGTTTAATGATTTTTTATTTTTTTTTTAAATAAAGTAATGCTTTTGTAGGAGTAGTGTAACAACTACTGTAATGCAGGGACATTGCAAGACACTTTGCATTTGCATGTCTTTGCTGCAAATGAGTGATCGGACTATTTTTTTTAAAATGGCACTATTTTTGGGAGTGGAGTAATGTAACGCTCACTGCACTTTTTTTAAAGAAGTAATGCACTAGCACTTTTTCAAGTAACGTTCCCCAACACTGTAAACAAACGAAATGCACAACTTCTATGCAGTACATCCTTTGAAATATGCTCTTGAATTTGTGTTGGAAAAACAATTCACTTTCTCGTTCTCCAAGGCCAGAGTGTGTGGATGAGATGGAGGCGTTCACTCACTCTTTCACTTCTGTTTCGCAAAACACTTGCTTCTCACTGTGTAGGTGCTGCCGGCTCATAGAAATAACGTAGTGTTTCCTGCCCTGAGTAACACAGCATAATCTCCCACACTCTCTGCCCTCCTTCAAAACCAGAGACTGTCAGCTGTCCGTTGCCAAGACTGAAGTATGGAGTCATCAAAATTGGAGCAAAGATTTGATTCCGAGTCAAAACGAGAATAGACTAGGGATATGCCGGTATCAAATTTTCATGTTGCGATTAATTGCTAATGCTTTTATCACGGTATACGGTATTATCACGGTATTGAAATTTAGTTTTAAAAAACAGGTTTAATAAAATTTTTCT